TTTCATTGTTCATCTTCTGTGAACCAGGCTCTGTCATAGACATTGGGGATAAAGACAAATGAGACCCAAGCCCTGTCCCAAGGGAGCCTACCATTTGTGTGTGTGTGTGTGTGTGTGTGTGTGTGTGTGGAGAGAGAGAGAGAGAGAGAAACAACATACAACTTTACTATAATGCAATATATGTGTGTGTGGATAGCCATAGAATGGAAATGAAGAGGGGAGAGGAGTGGCACCGGTACGAACCTTGACAGAGGGGATGATGTGGGCTCACAGGCCTCCTAGAGAAAGTGTCGACCGATCTGAGTTAACTCAGCTTGGCAATCTTTGTGAAGAGTATTACAAACCTAGAAAGACTTATCTAGGTCTTTAGGAGCAATCTATATGACTACATAAAATAAATCTTTTTGCTTAATGAAAGTCCTCTTTCAAAATTACATTGGTCAGCAAATGTCAGGCCTTCACTGCCTTTTACTGCCTGGCTATAGTTACTCTTTTATTCAACAAATAATACCCACACACATAGATGATAATCTTAGGCTTTTGAGTTTTCAAGGATTCAGATCTGGGATTATGTGCGTTTTTAAGGAATTTGTCAAGAGAAATTTTAACTATGTGTGCTTTTTGCATTCTACCTTTTGAATCTTACAACTAGATAGGAATATGATTCTACTATGTAAGTTTCAAAAGGAAAATATTTTTACTCCTAGAATTTTACGCCTAAACAATTTGTCTTTCATGTGTGAAAACATAAAAATATTCTCAGATATGTAGGGACCCATGTGTCCTTGAAACAATTTTTTGAAGATGTACTACAACGGAATGAAAAATGGAGCAAACTAGAAGCATCAAGAATGAAGCTGTCACAATATAAAAGTATTGTTGCTGAGTAATTAATCAATTAAAATAGAAATGTACCTAAAAATACATTGTAACCCTGGTTATGAAACTGAATATTATTATCAAAATTATTCTCCAACAATGTTGTGAATCTAAAATCCTAATATTAATAAAAGTTAAGGATAGATAATAAAGAATAAAAATGTGTCACATTTCTTATTTTGTATATATAGAAATACAAGATACCATTTCATTTGATTCTGACAAGGAGTAAAATATGGATTAAAATGCTTTTGTAAAACTTTGAGGTAGAATGAAATATAAGATATACTACACCATATAGAATTATATAATACAAAGCTCTGAAAATGATAAAAGAAGATATCCAGATGACGAAAGGAGAAAACAAAAGAAATAGTAAGGAAATATAAAAACAGCATGAAAGGTAACAGTTAAAGATATTAATCGTGATGATACATTTAAATGAGTTAAATATACCTATTAAAAGGCTAATATTCTGAATAAGAAAACAAAATCTAATATGTTGTTTTTAAGAAACATATTTAAAATCAAATGAGACCCCCCCCAAAAAAACTCTATAACCAAAAGAATTACCATGAATATACCAGGTCTTTTTAACAAATGATACTGGGGCAACTGAACTTCCATATACAAAAGAATGAAAGTAGACTTCTCATGTATGTCACTTACCATACTGGCCATGGAGCCTTTTTATTGCCCTGCTGGGGCAGGGAAGCAAATTCACAGTCCTACTCAACTGCTAAGCACAGCCTCCAGCCCCACCCACCCAGAAAGCCTTGCTAGAGGAACCTGGGCAACCATGGAGTGCATCCTACAACCCTGCCCAGCTGTTAAGGGTAGCCTCTGGCCCCACACAACCAGGGAGTCTGAACAGTGACTCTGGGCAGCCTCGGAGCCCAGCCTATGGTACTGACCCCAGCCTACAGCCTTGCCCATTCCTGAACACACAGCCTGCAGCCCTGCTCAGGCAAGGTGTCCAGACAGTGACTCGGCCAAATCAAAAGCATAGCCTACAGCTCAACCTGACAAAGGAGCTCAGAAAACAACTTTGCCTGACCACAGAGTACAGCCCTTAGTCCTTTCCAACCAGAACTTTGCACAACCACGGAGCACAGCCAGTGGCCTGCCAGATTGCAAAGCTCAGCCTGTGCTACCATCCAACTTCAGGACACAGCCCATGGCCTGGCCTAATCACAGAGCACCTGAAGCTCTGTCCAACTGTGAAGCCATGTCCACAACCTGAACACAGAGTCCAGCCAGCAGAACCATCCAATTGGGGAGCACAGTCTGATGCCCCAACCAACCAAGAAATATTGTGAAGTCCAGCCCACAGTCCTGCCCAGTTGTGGAGTCCAACCAGTGACCCAATCTTGCCAGGAAACACAGCCAGAGATTTTGCCTAACCATAAGTGATTGCAGAGCCCAGCCAGTGGTTCCATCTGACCACCAAGCACAAAAAACAGCCCTGTCTGATCAGAGATCCTATCCAGTGGCCTCGCCAGTAGCATGGAGAGTACCTGGCCTCAGACCAGGGGAATTGCCTCACCCAATTAGATACCCTCAGAGCAAGTCCCACCTGCCCATGGATGCTACCAGCTGACCTGTCCAGTACCCCCAAGCTATGTTAACATGTGTAGGTCTCTCCCTGCTAAAGTTTACCTATAAAATCTGGAATAAGAGACCACTTACTCAAATGTACAAATACCAATGCAAGGAACCAAAGGTAAAGAAAATCAAATGAACATGACACCAACAAAGAAAATAAAACTCTAAAACTGACCCTAAAAAAAGATAGAGATCTATAAACTGCCTGACAAAGAATTTCCCAAAGAAAAGTTGAGAGAGATCATCACCACTAGATCTGCCTTTTAAGAAATGCTAAAGGATGTTCTTCAAGCTAAAATAAAAGAAGGCTAATTAACATTGCAAAAAACATATGAATGTATAAAAGTCAGTGGCAATGTCGATATATATTCAAGGTCAGATTCTTTAATATCGTAATGGGGGTACATAATTCTCTTACAATTCTAGTCTAAAAGTTCAATATATATATTAAAATCAACCATAACCATATAATTTGTTATTGGATAGATAATATAAAAAGATGTAAATTGTAACATCAATAACCTAAAATGTAATGGAGGGAGAAGTCGAAGTATAAATTTTCCCTATGCTATTAAAGATTATGACAAAGGAATCAAAGCATACCACCACAAAAAGTCATCAAACCACAAAGGAAGACAGCAAGAGGCAAGAAACAAAGGATCTGCAAAAGTAAGAAAACAAAATGGCAATAGTAAGTCCCTACCAACAATAATTACTTAAATGTAAATAGATTAACTTCTCCAATAACAGGATAAATGGATTAAAAAAAAAACAAAACACAAGACCCAATGATATACTGCCTGTAACATACTCATTTTAGCTTTAAGGACACACACAGACTGAGAGTAGAGGGATGGAAAAAGGTATTTCAAGAAAATGGCAACCAAAAGGAAGTGCAGGTAGGTATGAGCCTTTCCTCTCCCTAGTGCCTGGTGAGGTAAAGAGGAGTCAGGGCCCCACTCTTCCTCCTTTGCCCCCAGCATATACACCTTAAAAAAGTCAGCAGAGGCTAGAGTAGGGATCAGGGGGAAGGCAGCCCGAGGAGGTTGCAGAAACTCCCCTCCAGACCCAGACAGAGGGGTCCAAACCTCTGAGCTCACCTGCTGAAAGGACTTCACAGAGATTTAGAGCCACTGTGAATGTGGCAAGCACAAATCTGTTCCTCCAAAAATTGAAATCTATTTTTCTGTCACTTCTATTTTGAGCTCCTATTATACTGGGATCCAGGCAGAAACCCACTCTCAGTCAATATCTAAGTTCCGGGAAACTTGTAACACTAAGGCACCAGGTGCAGGAGTCCGGAGTACAGCCTTCTCTTATCAGGCTACTCAGCAGCACTACTCAGGTGTCCTTCATTCACGTTCTCATCAGGAAATGGCCTTTGCTCAGCTGCTTTTGTGCCTTTCCAGGCATGAGATTTCTTCAAGGCTGCCTAATGTCCCATCTGCCTGGACTTATGTCCCCATGAAGCCTCACCCTCCAAGGATTTACAGGTCCTTCCCAGAGCTTTGTCTAGGTAGCAGGGCACAGGACTCTCTCTCCAGGCACACAGATAGCCACACTCCTTTTAGTGTTCTTTCTAGCCCCAGGGGACTCTGTTGTAGGTGGGGAGTTACCAGCAGGAGAGGGAGAATATGTGTGCTTGCTAGGGCAGCTGTAACAAAGTACCACAAACAGCATAGCTTCAACAGCAGAAATTTATTTTCTCACAGTTCTAGAGGCTAGAAATCCGAGATCAAGGTGTCAGCAGGGCTGGTTCCTTCTGAAGACTGTGAATAGAATCTTCCGTACCTCTGTCCCCTAGCTTCTGGTGACTTGCTGTCAATCTCTGGTTTATAGAAGCATTTCCGATCTGATCCTGGCCTTTGTCTTCACTTGACATTCTCCCTGTATGTCTATCCCTCGATTTCTATAAGGACACCTGTCACATTGGATTAGGGGCTCACCCTACTCCAATATGACTTCATTCTAACCAGTTACCTCTGCAATAACCCTATTTTCAAATAAGTTCACATTCTGAAGTATTGGAAATTGGGACTTCAACATATGAATTTTAGGGAGACATATTCGAGCCATAATGGGAGCTAGGCAGTTCATGGGGGAAAGGAATTATTCTTTCTCCCTTTATTCCTGCTTCTCCTCAGGATTTTTATCCAAACATTTTGGCTATTCTCTTAGGACATTATTCCTTCAAGGGTTTTAGGCTTTTAGAAACCAAGGTAAGTAATTTCCTTTTATTTTGCTTTCTGTCCTATTGCATCCCTTCCCCCGAAGTATTGTATGAACAACAGCTTAGTCATTTGAATCCAAGCGAAAATTAAAAGGAAGAAATATCAATAAATCAGTCACTATCTCATAGATGCTATCCTGCCACATAAGTGAGCATTCCTTTTCCTGGAGTATTGAAGAGGAGCTAGTTGAGGATTCAGAATTCAAGATTCCAGTGGTGTCTTCTCTGGAAATGAGAACTGACAATCAGCAGTCATTCCCTCATCAAGTAAAAAGAGAGAACAAGCTTTTTTTAAAAAAACACATTTATTTTAAATTTTTACATCATCTTTGGGTAATTCAGAAGTAGCTCAGGCATATTTCCAAAGTTTCTGAGTTTGATGTCTCAATTTCAAGCCATAGCTTATTTAATTGGTGAAATGATTAGAGGACCTCGTGAAAAAGGATGATGAGATGACTACTGAGGGAAACAGAACACCTTAGAGACAGGGGCTTTCCTACAACACTCAGTCATAATTTTTTTAATTATCCATAACGAATATTAAATACCTCACCACACCAACAATAATATCCTTTGTTGGCATTTGACCAGACTTCCCACATAAAAATCACAGAAATAAAAGTCCTATAGACCTCAAAATCACACTTAAATTAATTTGATTCCTTATATTAATAAGTACTAAATGCTCAAATCTACCCAGTGTGTTCTCAGTGTATAGACTAACATCTATCTCCTGCTGATGAAATGCCACCTTCCTCTGTACTCAGAGTTCATGATTCAATGATTGTAATGAGTGTGTCAAATCAGAAGGAGAAGGAAGCCAGGAACTCATGGGCTCTGAGAGGCAGAAAAGACACAGCAGTTAGTGGCCCAAGTGCTTCTTTGCCCATTCCCAAGCAGAATCAAGCCTGGGCTCCAGGCAGGGAGGAAGAAAGGCACATTCTACATCCTCCACTGCCTCGGATGGCTTCCTGGGTATTCCAAGCAGGGTAGTTGTCTCCCAAAGGGACAGTTGATTCTCTAAAGACAGGGCCTCATTTTTTGCCTCCCTCAAAGCAAGGTGTTGCCCAGGTGTGGGTACAAAGCCGGTCCTTAGTAAAGGAGAAAAGGAAACCACCATATACTGAGCCCTGCAGATGCTAGGGATGGAGCCAGGGCAGGTGTGTCATGTCACCATCACGACAGCCCTATAAGGCAGGCTCATCACCCCCATTTCACAGATGTGTAGGAGTCCTGGCTCTACAGCACTACTTAGTGACCTTGAGCAAGTCCTTTACCTTCTCCACAGCAGGCGCAGGACATATCCAGGGTGATTCTCTACCAGGGGGAGGGGATGAGCAAACCATCTGGAAAGCATGTTTACAGACCACAGTGGGAGAGCCTCTGCCTGGAGACTCTGCCCTTACTCCCCTGCTGGAGGGGTGCAGGTCAGGGCCATCTGGTCTACCTTGTGAGACTCTGTTATGATCCCTAAGGTTTTGACCTCTGAGGGCAACTAAGTTCTAGGGAACCACATCCCCACTCCCTGAGAGACCTTTCACAGAAGACCCATGAAAGTCAAAGAAATCAGGTTAGGATACTTTTAAAGGAGAAAACGCTTAGAAGTAATTTAGGAGAGGAAAGACTACTTTAAACGGAAAAAACAAGATGACAGTTAGGAGGAGGTTTGGGGTTGGGCATTAAACAGGAAGAGGCAGATACAGCTAGTAAGATAGGGTCAGGGCAGGCCAGGCCAGGCCCGGCCGAGCCTGAGGAAACCTGGTTTTTGGCATTGTACCTGCCATGGGGTTACACATGCTGCCTCAGACATGGGTGGGGGGTTCCTCAAAAAATAATTTAAGCCTGTAAGTTCAGGCAGACCCTAGAGAATAAAATGGGTAATAAAAGCAGAAAAGAAAATACAACTCAAATGACTCTGAAAATCTGCTTGGCATGTTTTTCCTCTTCTTCTAAAATCCATTCTATGGCCCCCAACTCTGTGAAGTCCTCTATAACTCACAGGCACAGGAAGTGTATGCCCCTCCCCACCAGGGTATGCAGACCTCACAGCAAGCCCACCTCCCCACAGGCCCTCAGTGTGCTGAGGTCACTGAATCCTGCCTGTTTGTCACTCCCACTGAACTATGTGAGCAACTTGAAGATGGAGACTATACATTTCTACTCCCCTGTCTCCATATGGAGAGGGGTGTGAGTTCATCAAGACCCTTTGTGCATAAAAAACATCCAGACAAGGCTAAGGACTAGCTAAATCATCCAGTGATAGAAACACTGCCCCTCCTGGGGGCAAGGACCTTAGGAGCAACTTTGTTCTGGAGAAATCAAGTCTGTTTCTTGGACTCCATATGACTTACCTGCCCTCCAGAGCCACCCTTTAACAAGCACAATCATAATTTAGGAGAATTTCTTTAAAACATGAAATCAATGTCTAAGTGTAGAATTCAAGCAATATAAGAGCACTGGTTTGCCAGAAAAACAGCCCAGCTTTGGCAGCCCTGGTAGGAAAGGTGGATCTTGTATCTACCCACGTGGAAGGAGAGGAGGACTCTGTCTGCCTCAGACACAGGTGCTAGGCATGGCAGGAGGCTTTGGGTTCATATATCTCTACAGCTACAGGGCAAGGGCAAGCTGGGCCTGGTTCCTCACCCTCAGGCTCCTGAAGCTCTAGGGTTCTGGCTGACAGAAGGCCTAGAGCATACTAGCAGACCAGAAGTGTTCAGGAACATGGTCATCCCATTCCAGGCCAACAGACAGGCTGTAAAATGCCTGATGGAGAAGGGTGAGGGCACCTGGCCGGGGAGCCCATACTCAGCAGTGAATCCTCCGGAAGCCAGGCAATGTGGCTTTTCCAAGCAGGTAAATGTCCTCATCTGTGCCCTGGTTGAGGTGCTTTACCAGATTCTTCTCAAAGAGGAGCGGGTGGTAGGCGCCCATCGTGCAGGCGCTGTCAAAGAATTTCTGGTAGTAGTAGCACATATCAGTCTTGCGCTTGGATGGGAGGAATTCATAAATATCCACTTGGTCACACAGCGTCATCATGATGATGATGCCTGAAGAGGGAAGCAGAGGTGAGTTCTGCCCAACAACCTACCCCATACCCTGGAACTCTGCTCAGTGAGTCTACAGCTCATGACCCCAAATTTTGGGAGATAATATGGATTTCTAGTTATCACTGTGATTCACAGTCTGAGTCCTTCTGGTAAGCCAATCCAGCAAGCTGTGCCATGAGGGCCACTGAGCCCTATGCACCGTGACAGCCCCAGCACGTAGGCCAGGACCTGGTGCATAGTGGGTTCTACCTAAACACTAGTAGACTGAAAGGCCCTATCCATCAATTGATGAATTTATCAATGTGAATAAGCAATATGAAGAGAGAGGACAAGGCAACTGAGGAGACAGTACCATCACATGTCCACAGTACTTTCTAGCACTTTTATATCCCAGAGAAACTTCTTAGATGCTGCTATTTGAAGGAAGGTGTTTATTACGGTGCTTGCAGGAAATAGTGTGTTGAGAGAGACTGTTCTTTCTTCAGCTGGGAAGAAGGCTAGTTGGACGAGCATGCCATGGTATATACTGACCACGGGCTCTGCTCACTAAGGCAGGAGATTGGAGCTGAGGGCCTGCGGCCAGGTTGGTGGCACAGACATTGAGATGAAAACCTAACAAGAGACAGGAGACTGCTGCTACCACCTGCGCTTGTCCCCACCTGGCTCAGTCATCTTATGCAGGACACATCCTTCTCTGGGCCTCAAGTTCTTCACTTCTCCCAAAGGGGTGATCTACCTACTCCTCCTACCACACAGGCTATTGTTAGAATGAAATAAGGTTATGGCATTAAGACCCCTCTTGGCAACAATAAATATAGGGAATCTTTATGAGGGAGCAGTTCCCACTAACAGAAAAACTATAAACTGCTAGCAGTATCGTTGTTCCAAAAGAATCAGATCTGCGAAAAGCCTTACCTCTATTTCTGGCTTGCCTTGGTCCAATGAGGACGGGGGGAAGACACCTCTGCAACTAATGGATGTAGGCATAGCAGAAGTGTTTCTAGAAATTATGGGAGGGAGCACTTCCTATGAGAGGGGGCTCAAGTAAACCTCCTAGAGCACTGGTGTGGGGCCTGGCAGACGCTATGACCATGAGGGATGGGCAAGAGAGGAAGACTGGTGGTGGAGGGAATGGCATAGGCAAAGACAGGGCAGTAGGGTGATGGAAAAGTGTGTTCTCCAAGGTGCTTCCACACTATTCCTGCTCAGAAGGAAGCAGCCTCAAATGCACCCAACCAAAAGTTAAAGAAAGAGGTATAACAGTGTGATACTATAAGAGCCCCTATCTCTTGCTATAAGGAGTGCCTCTGATACTAAACACTTATTAGTTCATTTACTTGGGGAGTATTTATCACCAGGCTATCCTGTGACAGACACAAAAGATGAATCAAACACAGTCCCCACACTGAGGGAGTTTGCAGTCTAGTAGGGAGGGCGGGCAGGCAAATTACACATAGGTGAGTGGCCGGGGCCATCGATGGGAAAGTGGTCCACTGCAGGGGAGCCAGAGGAGGGAGCGTCCCTCCTGGTGCACATATGGTGCCTAGGACCTCGTGGGCATTGCCCATGGTTCGGCCAAACTCAAAGTGAATGGGAAGGAGAGCAGATGTTCCATGAGGGCCGAGGGAGGTGAAGAAAGTCCAAAAAGAAAGTCTGCAGCCAACATTCAGGGCCCTCTGGTACTCTGACCGTAGCCTACTCCACATCAGCTCCCGCAGCTCCATTTATGACCCCAGCCCAGTCAAACTCCACCCCTCATTCTTCTAGGGCCATGATTAGGGTGTTCATTCGGGTGGATGATTTTTTGAAATTTTGAATAAAGTACTATCAAGTCTTCCTTTTTCCTCAGATTCCAATATGGTTCTGCATGACATTATGACTGATCCTGTCCTTATTTAAAATTTTGATATTTCATTCATCGTAAAATTTTATATTAATTGTGATGTTTTAAAAGATATTGTATTAAGATATTATTTCTCTTGCTACCGAATTCTTGGAAACTCCTTCAATTGTTACCTGAGACAAGTGCCTCACTCGCCTCATCACAGTCCCAGCCCTATTCCTCCGGTTTTCCAGCCTCCTCTCTTGTCTGTGCTTCCCTTGACTCCATCTCCACCTGCCAAATCTGCCCCTCTCACAGGCCTAATCCAAAGCTACTCCTCCAGGAAGCTCTTGGATGGTCCACCTAGACAGAGTTCTCTCTCGTGTGGCACCAAGGTGGTCCCTCTCTACTGGTACAAATTCAATGTTACCTCAGACATCTGATTGAACTCTCTCAATGAACACCCTAAAGGAGAAGAGTTCTATCTTATTAACTTTTGTATCTTAGCTAGAACTTGGCACAGTGCACAAACACAGCAAAAGCCTAGTGATTGTTTAGTGAATGAATGAACAAACAAATGAATGAATGAGACCCCAGAAGAAAGCTAATCTTTTCTGGAAACAAACACAGGAGGTCTTTCCCCAGACATGGACTCACCGAGCATCCCAGAGGATGGGGGATTTGGCTGAATCTCCTCTGGGGAGATTTCTTGAATGATGTCCCACAGCTCCCAAGGCATCTGGGGCTTGAGGATGTAAAAGAGCTGATCAGGATGTAGCTTACGATAGCTCCTGTAGCTATCAAAGAATTTGTAGTCAGGATTCTCGTACCACTGAAAAAGAAGGAAATGGTTTCAGGGAGAGAAATATGCCAGTGCCACTGCTGCCCCCAAGGCAGTCATCCTCATCCAAGAACCTTGAGGGGAAGGTAGAGAAGGACCAAGGCAGAATTCTGAGGCACGGCCCCTTCCTCAGAGCAGATTCCATACCTCTCCTCCACATCACAGCTCTCACTTGGTAGCAGAGGGGACCTAGTATGTAACCTGTGCTCACAGGGAATTTTGAGCTTGGTGACCCTGAAATAGTTTCAGACTGTAAGAGCACAGAATCTTGGAATTATAACAGTGCTGAAAGGGGCCCTTAGCACTATCTAACCCCGCCTCTCATTTTTATTTTTAAAGGGGCAACAATTGGGACACAGCTTGCCACATCTGTGGGTTCAGAGCCTTTGTCCTGACCTGGGAAAATTTCAGTTCTAAGAGAGATCAGTGTGAAACTATGGAAACTGAGATAGTGGGGATGCAAGGGATCAGCAGGGTCTGTCAGCTATTACTGTGGCCAACTAAGAATTCAATGTCCCAAGAACAGTGCTCTCTATCCTTCCTAAAGCTATTCTCCTGTGGCCACTGCAGCCCACATCAGGTAGAGGCTAACTGGCATGCATGGGAAACAGTGAAAGGACCATTCCAGAGAGGCTGAGAGACCGGTGGGTCTGAGACTCCTGTCTCCTTCTCTGAATGAGATGTTGTTACATATCTGGTCCTGTGCTTAGTAAATTAAGTCCTGGGACAGATGACTTCCCCTCTCTACATTCCAGTTTCCTCATTTGTAAAATGCGAGAGACCATACTTATATATACTTCCTTACCTTGTTATGAGAGTTAAATGAGAAGAATTCTGGAAACTGAAAGTATGGGACAAATGCAGTAACATTATTTTTTTTTATCAGGAATAATTGTATTAAGTGAACACAATCTACCCCGGATGGTGAGAAGTCCAGCCATTATCACCCCTGATATATACCATAATTAGAAGGCCAATACATGGTAATGCAGAATAGGGCATGGAGAACACTGGTATAGAACAGGAATACTTCTGAACTGCTGGTCCATATGAAGTAGGGTGCCCTAAAACTGAAATAGCCAGTCCTCAGGGATGGCCTAGGTCAGCCATGACTTAAAAAACTCAGAAACTCATAGTACCTCTCAATCCCTATTTCCCACGGACAGCTACTTACCTTTGGGATATCTGAATGGTAAACAGATGGGTCCCATACAATTAGAATTCCTTCATTGTACAAACTGTCTTGGAGGAAGCGCTCTTCTGTGGTGATTAGCTGCAGGAAGAAATGGATGAATTGTCACTTGGACATTTACATGTAAAGATTTGGCTTGTAGTAATAACTGACACATCACAATTATCACCTGAGGCCTTAGAGCACCATGAGGCTTGTAAGTTTTGATGCAGCACTTAACTTCGGTGAGAAGAAGGCAAAGATGCCATTGAAATTGTGTGGACCTGAAAGGGCCTTTTGACATAGTTGATCAGCCATAAAGTAAAAAGGGTTCCACTCAGACTTTGAGATTAGTGGGGCGAGCATACAATGAATGTGGCTCAGGTATACTCTATAGTCATACCTCATGTGGGAACTAAAGGAGTGGGGTTTAAAGTCAGAATCTCACATAACTTAAACAATCTTTGGAAGTCCCTCAATCTCCTATAAGGTCCAGTATGTAGTATTTACATTTGGCTTTGCAGCGAATTTATCCAGTGACTGTGAGCAAATCAGGTAATCTCCCTAGTCCTTCATACTCATCAAATGGGGTACAGAAGTGAATGAGAAAGGCAGAAAAGAGGTCCCAAAGGCCGGGTCCCTCTTAAGAAAGCCAAAACTGATATACGAGATTAGCTGTCAGACATTTACACACCATGATGGAAACATAGTACCTCTCATAAGTCCAACACAGCCAGTGGTTTCTGCAGCACTGGAAAAGATGGCTATGTCTGTGGTTGAGCACCAAAGGAAGTATTGGTTTGTGTGTAGGAGCTATGGTATATGCAAAACGTGCATCTTTAATCATGAGAATCTCTCCATGGTGGTGAAATGCTCACAGGAGACCTGCTGGGGACCGGTGACAACTCCTCTCCATCTCCATATTCCTGGGCTCTTAGACTGGCCTGTGGTAGTTAAACCCATTTGGGTAAAATGTGACTGTGATAAGACCCCATAAGACAACCTTGCTGGATCAATTTCGCAGAATGTATTAACATCCTTAAAAAGTATGTATACTCTTTGACTCAGCAATTTCACTTTTTTTGGCATTTATCCTAAGAGAATCCAAATTCAAGGGGAAAATTATGCACAGAAATTTTAATCAACTTACTTATCAAAATAAGAAACGTGGTAGCTGTGGGTGAAAGATACTAGAGTTTGATACTGAAAGACCTGAGTTCAATTCTTGGTTTTGCAGCTAATTTATCTGGTGACTGTGAGCAAATCGGGTAATCTCCCGAGGCCTTCATACTCACCAAATGGGATACAGAAGTGAATGAGAAAGACAGAAAAGGGGCTCCGAAGGCTTACGATGAACAAAGCCAGGTCCCTCTTAAGAAAGCCGAAACTGATATATGAGATTAGCCATCACACATTCACCTTAAAAAGCAGGTGGGTGATGTTTCCCAGGTGGAAACTGAGAAGAACAAATTACAAATCACATCAAGAACTGACTGAAAATGAAACCAAGAATTAAAACAGTAATTCCTCCCCACCTCGATTACTCACCATCGAGAAGGTGGAGACCTAATCAATGTCACTGTGGTAGCTGAAGAATATCTGTAGGAGGTGGATGGTCTATGTATATCCCAAGAAACAGCAATTTGCCATGAGCCTCTAGGGTCATTTGGCTACCTCATCTCCATACCTACTTCCAGATGTAGGAAGGCCCTGGAAGCCAGGAGAATATAATCTCATTTCCTCAGTATATCTTTGAGACAAGAAATATTGGTAGTGGGCCCGCCTTGACCAGGGTTTGTTAGATTGTACTAGGTGCAGTCACATGGTGCCAGGGTTAGTATGGCCATAAGGTGAGTGAGTGTTAAAGGACAAACAAGAATAGGCCAAGCCAGGAGAATGTGACGGCGAGAGGGTAGCTGTCCCAGACAGAAGAAACAATGTGCTCAAATCTCCAGACGTGAGAGTATGTGGCAGAGATAGCTAGGTGTCGCCCAATAGCCGTTCTCTCTTCCTTGGTAATAACAACCTCTGATGTTTACCTCTCAACACCTGGCTATCTAAAATAAAGACTACCTGAAAGAGAAATTTCCCAGCCTCTCTTAGAACTAAGTATGGTCATATGACAAGTCTGGCCAATGGTGTGTAAGCAGGAAGTGTCCTTGAAGCCAGGGTCATGCTCTTCCTTATTCCTTCCTCTTTTCTACTGATTTAAAGTGGATGTGATGGCTGGAGCTTGAGCAGTCATGTTGGACCATGAAGTAGAAGTCACATCGTAGAATGACAAATGCAGAAGGTAGTAGAAGCCTAGGTGCCCAAAACTCTGGAACACCATACAGCTCTGGAATGTCTACCTCTGGACTTCTGGGGGCTTTTTTCACATGAGAGAGAAATACATTTTTATCTTAACCTAGTGTTAAGGGGTAGGCAGAGCATTCCTGTCGTTTGCATCCAAACCTAATTCTAGTTAGTACGGTGAGTAGCTTGTGTGGGAATTGCAGGTTATCTAGTTGTGGCTCAGATACAAAGGGAGAGCTAGAGAAGATCAGAGAAATGTAAGCAGGAGCCACGCCAGGGAACTTACGGTTTCTTCAACGGATTTTGGGACCATGAAGGTTTTTAAGCAAGAAGGATCTGAACAGACTAGTGTTCTGGACTAGAGTTTTTAGAGAAAAGGAAACCAGATAGATGGTGCTATTGTAGCCTAAATAAGAAATAATTGAAGCATAAAGAAAAAGAGTTATAACTGTCAGTTGTAGACTTGCAAAATAATTGGATGTTAAAAGTGAAGGAAAAAGGGGTGAAGGGTGACTCCTGTACCTCGGGCTATTTCCTAAAGTGAGAACATAGAAAGAAGAGCGACTGGTATGTGCCTGTGTGGGCGGAGTGGAAATTTGAAGTTCAAAGATGAGACAAATAGCCTAGACTTCCACAGCTGAGAGGCCATAGGAATTAGGAATGGAACCCATGTCTTCCAACTTTAAGTTCTATCCTCTTTCCATGGGGACACTATAACTCACAGCACAGACATTAAATGCTGTAGTCCAAAGTCGGAGCAGGCATCCTGGCAGATGGGGCTTTTAAAGATTGAGCTGATGACAGTGAGGCCCAGGGGACAGTGGGCCTCCCTCCCATTATTCTATACATGTCTTCCAAGACAGAATTCTACAGCTTCACTCCCTACCCCCATCCCACTCCATCCGCTCAAAACCAGATGGCATATTGAGCTATGCTTTTCTATGCAGAGTACTGATGCCAGGTGATTTACATATACTCATGAGAATTAGAGATAACTGGGATTTTTATAAATGTCTCCTCCTGCCAGAGCCCTTCTCCAGAAACTTTCTTAGTACTCCAATCAGGAAGCCAGTGGCAATATCTTCTGGCACCCTGAGACTTTCCCAGGATTTGTGGCTTTACTGTCCTCAAAAATCCCAAGAGAGATACCCAAAGTTTTCACCTTTATGACAAAGGATAAGAGCAATGATAACAACAGATGCCATTTAATGATGCTTATTCCAAACCAGGTACTTTCATATACTATCTCAGTTCATCTTTACTACAGCCCTAGGAGGCAATTATTAATATGCCCAATTTTATAAATAAGGAAACAGACTCAGAGATGCTAAGTAACTTGCCCAAGCCATATAGCTAGTATGCTGAGGAGTCTGAACTGAAGCCCTTTTGCATGGCTCCAGAGTCCACACTTCTAATCCACACACCGCACTGCCTCACACAAGGAGGGTCGAATAGGACACCAGTGCCTCTTCCAAGGAAATGGCAAAGAAAGCACTTGATGAAGGGTATGGAAGTGTCATGAGAATTTTGCTTTTTGTCTGAGTTGTAGTATGTCACAACTGGAACATCCTCGAGAGACTACATCCAAATCCATCATTTTCAGATGAGTAAACCGAGGTCCAAAGAGAAGAGACTGTCTGAGGCTTCAAGGTGAGTTGGAGGCACAGCCAGGAGGTCAGCTTCTACACAGTTCTTTCTGTTCCCACAGGGCTGCATTCACGAGCCACGAGATATCTAATCAAGCCAGAGCACTCTCAGGATCTGGGCTACCTTTAGTTCTCACCATACACAATGGGCAAATGTCATTCACTTGAGCTACTTGAGCCAAATGAAGAAGTAATTCATGAAACTGAGAAGAGGGAAATATAAATGCTAGTTTTACCCCTGAAAAGAGAAACAGAAAGTGGCAAGGGCTGGGACCAAGAAAGGGGAGAAGCCTTAAAGCACCCCTCAACCTTAAATGAACATGACTCTGGCGGCCCTTTATGTGAGATTCAAAGAGTTTCTCAAAAAAAAAAAAAAAGCCTCAAAACTACTCAGGGAATTGGGAGACTGTTTGTGTCTAACTTACTCTGCAGTCTTAGGTGGGTCACTTCCTCTCTCTAGGCCTCAGGTGCCTTATTTATAGGACATTACCTTCCTATAGGCCCTGCCCAGGTGCCCAGCTGTGTGTGCCCAGACAACATCTCAGTCTGTTATTTTTCCAACTGCAGCAGAAGGGACTTGGGAGAGAACAAAGCTCCTCTCAAATGTACCTGTACTAACCTACATGCAGTCTGACCTGAGTTCAGGGATCCCACGGGATCTCATGGTGAGGAGAGTAAGTCATTGCCAGAGCAACAGATCCCCAAAGAACACCTGCCAGGAAAAGACTACACCAGGGACATGGAGTGTTGCTGTTTTAGCAACCTGTTTAAAGTAACCTTTCCAGTCATAAATGCTCACTGCAAAAAGTTCGAAAAGACAAGAAAAGAATGCATACACACACATATATATAAAAGAAAATACTAACCATCCGTAATTGCATTCTTCAGATATTACCACTGTGAATATGTTGGTATTTTTTTCCTGTTATGGGCTGAATTGGGCCCCCTCCCCCCGATGCATATGTTGAAGTCCCAACCCCCAATGTGGCTATACTGGAGGTACAGAATTCGGGGAGTGAACTGAGGTGGAATGAGGCGATAAGGATGGAGCCCAAAACTGATAAGACTAATGTCCTTAAAGGAAGAGACTTGCTCTCTCTCTCTACATGCACACAGAGAAAAGGCCATGTGGAGAAACAGAGAGAAGGCAACCATCCATAA